AGGCAACCGCAGCACCATCTTCTTCTGAATGGAGCTTTGTTTGGAGGCTGAGGCGTAGAGGTGGGAGCAGTTCCGCTGGGCAGAAGTCTTCCCCACTTCTTCCCTCCAAGGCCCCAGGCTGGACGTCCCCCCCCCAGCACCCCAGAACTGCTCGGGGCATGGAGGCCCCTGGCCAATCTCTCAGTTTCCAAAATCCTCTCTTCCTCAGTGGCCAAGAGAGCCCACTCCTCGGCTTCCCTCCCCCCTCCCTGAGCGCTCCTCTCCTGCCCCTGCCTTTCAGCAGTCATCCACCAGGGCTGCGGCCACCATCTCCAGCCTCCTCACCTCATTCTGATGCATTCCTGCAGCTTCACTTTCCACCTCCAGCAGCATCAGGGCTCAGAACTCTCTCTGCTGAAGCCCAGTCCTGTACACTCATTGTCCAGTTGACGGCTCCCCTCCAACTCAAGGTGCCACAGCTGAGCTCATCGGCTGCCCCTCTGCCCATGCCCCATCAGCAGCGGCCATGGGTTAGCTCATGGCCACCCAGCACCTGTTCACCCCAGGACTGACCAGGGGCCCAGCTTTGGTGAACAGACAGCCCCCTACTTTAGACCCTGCGGTCTGTGGTGTTCCCTCCACCTCTACCTCAATCCAAGCACAGCATGTGACCAAAGTCTAGAACATTCCATATTCTCAGTGTAGGATTGTTTCAGGGTTAGCACAGAGTCAAACAGGCTCAATGGCAGCAAACTCCAGGGTTTGGTCCAAGTGACGTGGGAGAAGACCTCCCTCTTTCCTGATAGGTTTGAACCTGAGAGGCTGTAAAGCCAACGTCTGCCTCACATGGAGGCCGGGAACACACACTGTCAACACTCACATGCATTTTCTTGGCGTCTGGTGTGTGCCAAGCACCCTACATGTGTGGATCCCACTTTGCCCTAACAAAATGTGTCACGAGCTAGGCCCTATTTTTCCAACCCTAAAGAGGAGGGAATTGAGTCACAGAGAGGTTAAGGGCCTTATCTGGCCACTCGGCTAATCACTACGGTGCTGGAATTCAAATCCAGGCCGTGTGATTCCAGAGTCCTTGCTCTCAACCACCAGGTTCTATGGCAAGAAGTCAGCGCAGGCAAGCAGAGCTACAGGAGGAGGGGAAACTGAGGCCTGCTCCCACCATGGAGCCCTGAATCATGCTGGGCCTGCGGCCAGAGCCACCCCTAGACTTTTTAGTTACATGGGCCAATACGTTCCCTTCTGCCTGAGCCAAATATAGTTTGGGTTTTCTATATATTCAGACCAAAAAAGTCCTAACTGATAACACATCCTCTCAGTGGGTGGCACCACCACACGCAGTATTCAGACCGGAAACCAGAGCAGCGTCCTCCCCTCCTCCCTCTCCCATCCTTCACATCTGATCAGTGACCAAAGCCAGTGTCCCAGCTCTGGCCCTCTTCTTACCCCCAGTCCAGGCGACTATCATTTTTGCTGGGTTTTGACAACAGCCTCCTTGCCGCTTCTCTGCTTCCAGGCTGCTACCCCCACCACAAACTTACCCCCCAGTTCTTTCAGATCTTACCATGTCACTTCTGGCTTGAAACCCTCCAGACGCCTCGCTGCTCCTGGGGTAAGCTCCAACTCCTGCCCAGGCCGCCCTACCCACCGCCCTGGTCATGCCTCCCTTGCCTGCCCTGCCCCAGACCACCTGCTTCCAAAACTCGCTGCTTCACCCCTCCAAATCTCTGCCTGAAATGCTCTTGCCCCCTTCTTGCCAGGCGAATGCCCAGTGGTGATGCCACCTCCTCTGTGAGTTGCGCTTTGCTAACCTCAGCAGAGCTCTCTCTGCTCTCTGCTCTTTTGCTCGGGGCTCTTTTCATTGTCTGTTTTAACTTCAGTTTTGTGAGCCCGCTCTTTACTAGACTGTGAGCTCTGCAGGGGCATGGGCTCTGTCTTGTTTATCTCCTCATCCCCACGCCCCAGAGCATGCCTGGCACAGAGCGATCACTCAGTAAACACTCATGAGAAAGAATATGATGAAGTGTTTCCAGGAACAGAGGGCAGGTTCTATGCCTCTCTCCTGGTTCTGTACTTCTGGTGAATTCTATACTTTTCTCCTCTCCTCTCTTCTTCTGCCTCTTCTCCTCTCCTCCCCTCCTCTCCCCTCCCCTTCCCTCCCTTCTCCTCTCCTCTCCTCTTCTCTTCTTCTCTGGGGATGGTCAGATTTAGGGAAAATAATGCTGCTACAGGATGATTACTGTGCAGAAAGACTTTTTTCAATGAACAAGCATGTTATCTATTTGGTCAATGACAAACCAGTGATATTGTCATCGCCATTTTATAAACGAAGAGACTGAGGTTTAGGAAGGTTTTGCAATCTAGAATTCCATGCACATGTTCACGAAATCCACCCTCAAAAGCCAGGGCTCAGGCCGGACTCTGATGAGACCCCAACAGTGAGTGGTTGAATGAAGTGGTGCTCTTGCCCACACTGGCCACACGGGGGCAGCCGAGTGCTGGCGAGAGAGTGGCTTTCTGCCCCCACCTCACACCCACCTTGGAAGATGTGGATCTGAGGGTGCAAGGGGAAAGGCCACCACTGAGAGGCCAGGGGACAGGGGCTGAGGTTGCTATATATGCTAGAAGCAGGTCAACCTGGAGGGGAGCCGGGGAACAAACCACTAATTCCTAGAGTCAAGAGCTGGAGACATAGACAGTAGACCAGAAACTTGCATCACCAGCATATTTAATAACCAGCCACAGAAAGTGATGCAGCATTCCTGGATGGTGGGGGCGCCGCAGGCCTGCAAACGGGAGGCACTGACTCAGAGCAGGGGCGGGTCACTGTCAGACCACTGCTGCCTCACACCACACAGGATAGGCGTGCACTCATGTCCTCAGAGGCCAGAAGGCAGAGGGCACAGCCAGCACCTGCTGCGCCAGGCATCCAGGACGTGTGGCCACTTCAGTGCCCAGGACATGCAGCAGGCCCCGAGCGGGCTGGGAGCGTGCAGGCCCACACCGAGGACTTCCTGCGGTCCAGCAGAGCAGTTCAGAGGCAGTGGCTGGGTGCAAGGATCCCAGGTTGAGGTCTCACCACGAGCCAGGTATCTCCCAGTCTGTCATCTGCACCAAGAATGGGCTGAGGGTGGCATGGGTTCCCCAGAGCGGCAGCAGGAGAGTGGGCTCTCTGGTCAGCAGATGACGCAGGGCTCAGGAATCTGTAGAGAGAGCCACCCCCATCTTTGCTGGAGAGGGAGCCGCACGATGTGGATGGTGAGGAAGGGACTGCAGAAACCCCTGAGAGCCTTTCCCAGCTTAGGGAAAATCTCAGGGGCTGAAGGAAGGTGAGAGCAAAATCTGAACCCATCAGCCGCCCCAGCCCTTCCCCCATGGATGGTGCAGGCTAAGGGAGCTGGCTGGGATTCCAAGTACCTGGCTTCTCTCCCTGGCACTCAGGCCTTCACCCATCCCCCCACCTCTCACTACCAGCTGGAGCCTGAGACATGGGGTGACAGCAGCACCCACTTCCCAATTTTCTACATTCTTTCCTGCCCACTCAGCCTGACAGCCTTGACTGGGGTCAGAGTTCCACGACAAACATCTCAGTCTCTTCCCAAAGGAACACTGAGGTCTCTGACACACCCCACGCCCTCCTTTCCAAGCACTGGGCCCAGGAACAGCAACAGGAGGAAGTTGGATGAAGAAAGCCGTTGCCCCTGCCTCTATCCCCCGCCCAGGGCCCTGTCCTGGGTGTGAGCAGACACGAAGATGCTTGGGGCAGAGCCCTTCCCAGCACCAAATCGCTCTATACCCTCACACCACAGCAACTTGAGCCCAAAGGCCAAACCAAAGGTCATCAGCCTTCAGCCCTGCTCCCCGGCTCTGACCGCTTGGATTTTTTTCCATGGATGTTTATTCCAGCTGACCCTCTAAGCCCATCCCCCCTCAGGTTCAGGCCAGGAAAGCTGAGCCCAGCTGGCTAGGAAGCTGTTGCTGGCATCTGGAAGACTGCTCCCTGTAGACAAGAGGGTAGGGAGGGCCCTGGGGAAGCAAGGACAGGAAGGGGGCAGTGACACAGAGGTTTGGGGGTCCACCCCTGATTCACAAATGTATGAAGAGAGGCCATATTCTGTACCTGCATCTCAAAGAGTGCTAAGAAAGCAGGGGAGAAGAACAGAACGAGAGGGGCCCCCAAGTGCCAGAATGGACCGTGAACTTGGAATCAGGGCCCAGAGTCTGCTTCCGGTTCTGTCATTCACATGAGCATGTCACTTACTGTTCTCTGAGCTTCCCCATATGTAAAAGGAAGTTGTTCCCAGTGATCTGGGGACCCTCTCTCCCAGCTGGGAAAGGAGAGGAGAGCACGGAGCCAGAGGGTTACAGACAAGGCGTCTGGGAGGAACCGGAACTGGGTACAATCAAGAGAGGAAGTTCCCATCCTCTCCTCCAGAGAAGGGAGGCAGGAATGTCTCCTGGACCCAGCCCCCTGCCTGTGCCAGGTGCAGTAACACACACGTGGCACACACCCCTCAGGGCCCTGGACAGCCCTCCCTCTTAGGGGGCGGGGGCAGCGGCCCTGAGGTGAGAAGTCCCTGGCTCAGCAAAGCCAGTGTGGCACCACTGCCCAGTATTAACGCCAAATCCTGGGCTGCTGGGCAGAGATCACACGTCGTCGGCAGCTTCACAGCTGCTTAGCTGCACCTGCCCACATCCCCCTCCCCCCCCACCCCTGCTCCACCCCTCACAGGCACCCAGCCTGACTCCTTTCTTAGAGGGAAACCGGGACCCTGCCCTACCCTAGACAAGCAGGGGAGGGGCTCCGGAATCAGGGGGCAAGAGAGGCCAAAGTCACCCCAACAAACAAACACTCTCACCCACAGAAACCCCCAGGGGCTCCTAGATGCAAAGCTGAACAGACGGAAGGAACAGTGAAGGCCTCTGTGGCTCTTCCCAGGTGGCCTTGGCCTGTAGTTACCTTGTCCTCGGGTCAACCAGGCTCTTCCATCCAGATGGCTCCGGTCCTTGGACAGAGCGAGACACCCAGAGAGAGCCCCCGCAGCTGGGAGTCCTCAGCCCCACTTCCTGAAGCAGTGCTTCCGAGGCCCCCCAGCTGCTGGGAACCCTGCCATCCACACCTCCCAACACACACCACACAAAGCTCCTCGCTCTGGGCTGCATCTGCTCCCCCACCCCGCTGCTCCACAACATGAGCGGAGGCCAGGGAAGAGCCTTCCACACACCTCCCCATTCCCAGGGCCACCCAGGCCCCTGGCTCTGCCCTCAAACATGACCACACTCTCCTCCCTGTCTCGAGAGGAAGTCCGGGCAAAGAATCTCCCCCAAGCCCCCTTCCAGGGAAAAGTCTTCAGGAAGCTGAGGCCAAAAGCTGAAGCTGTCTGCCTGTCTCCTCAGCCCCATGGAGTGCAGAATTGGGCCTAGGACCTATAGGGGCTGGGGCAGTTGCAGACCGTGGGGGGTCATGGCAGGGTCCAGGGAAGAAGCCCCCAAAGCACACTACGGCCTCCGGACTCCCTCCTCTGTCATCCTCCTGCCTCCACAACCACCCTACAGTGGTACAGCAGCCTCTGTTCCTAGAAAAAGGGCATAAGGTGGGAAAACTTAAGACTGGAAGAGGGGGCCAGGGCTGCAGGAGACACTATCGGGGCGGGGCAGCCACCTCCTGATCCCGCACACCTGGGTGGCTGCAGCCCCACCCGCCGCGGACTCACAGAGCTGGGAACCAGAGTCGCTGACACAGGTGCCTTGCTGCGCCCCATAAGCCCCTCAGTAAAGAAGCTACTGTAGGCCCCCGGGAGCCCCGCGCCCGTACTCCCGATCCCTGCCCTCTCACCTGTGTGGGGCGCGCCGCTTCGGAAAAGGGGTCGGAACCGCAGCAGCCGTCTGCACGGAGTCCGGGGCAGCATGGGGACGGGCCTCCGAGCGCAACAGGGCGCCTAGGAGTGGTCGTCGTCATCGCTGTCCTCTCCGCGGGCACTGCCGGGCTCGGGCTCGCGGGACGCACGCTGCTCGTGGGCCAGCAGCGCTGTCAGGCCCTGGGCGCGGAGGAGGAGGCCGCCGCCCAGGAACAGGACCCCACAGAGCACCAGCAGGGACAGCACGCCCAGCACCACCGCCTGCACGGCGCGCGGCCCCTCGGGAGGCTCCGGCGGCGACCCCGACTGGTTGCAGCAGGAGCTCAGCCAGGCGGCCCCAGCCGCAGCGCCCGCCTGAGAGCCGTTCATGCTCCAGCGCCGGCTGCCCAGATGTGGTGGGATCGCCAGATGTGCGGGAGCCCAGGCTGGCGGGCGGCAGACGGCTGCGTCAGGGAGGGAACTAAGGGGCGGACCCCAGGCGCCCTACGCCCCCACCCGCTGCGCAGTGCTTGTGCCCTTCCTAGACAAAGAGCTCCAGCCGCTGTGGGCTATCACCCCTTCTCCACAGGCCAGGAATCCGGGTCAGGGCCGCCTTATTTCTTCTCATCCCCAAGGCCCATAGGCACCCCCATGCGAGTCCAGCCAGCCAAAACCTGGAGCCCTCTCCCTAAGAGTCCCTCCCCTTCGCAAAGAGGGCCAAGAGGTCCACCTGGGCAGAGCCCTGAGCAGATCCTCAGACCCCATCCCACGTGCAGGCTGGGGAGCTACCCCTCTGGACAGGACACAAGACAAAGGAGGCAAAGGTGACTGTCCCCTTTCTTGGGCTTTTTGTCCCTAGACCAAAGTTCTATGCTGCCAGGTGGCCCAGGTGACTGCTGAGCCAGGAGGCACACGGGCAGCCCTGAGGATGACTCCAACCCTTCCTTGTCCGTCATCCCTTCTGGAAGCCTCCTGGGGCTGGACAAGCAGGTCAGTGCCTCCCGCAGACTCCACAGTAGTGAGACATTCAGGCAGAGCAGAGCAGAGCATGGGGATTTCAAGGTCCACCCCACATATTTCCTCAGGCCCCACAGGTCAAGGAGAGCCACATTTACAGACCAACAGGAGAGCACAGATTTGAGCCACCAGGACTCCAGTCCTGACCCTGGATAAATTAGTCCCTCACTTCAGGGAAATCACAATGCCAGAAGGGATGGAAATGTTGCTGTGCTGTGCACCAGGCAGCCCACTGCCAGCTAGGTGTCCCACGGCCAAGCCAGTGGGGGAGTGGGGAGCAGAGTCCAGCTGCAGAAAAGCACAGACTGGAAAAGCAGATAGGGAAGAAAGACCCTCCTGCCAGGTCTACCAAAAAATTCCATAGCAAGCCTTGAGTCCTGTTTTAAAAAATAAAGTCACTGCCAGCCAACGTCTACCTGTACTAGTCAACCCCTCGGAAGGGATTCGATTAGCTGATGGCTGGCTGGGAGGAAAACAGGAAGAGTCCCCAAACTGCACCATGCCAAGTGGGGGTCACATGCTATCAAGAACTTGCTACAAATAGGCCTTCTCCAACTATAAACCCCCCTCCTGAATCCTCCAAATCTCTGATGCCCCAGAGATCGAGTAGAACATCACAAAACTTGTCACGAAAACATCACGTGGCCAAAGGTGACTTGAAATGGGAAAAGCACACTGCAAATGCAAACACTTCCTGGCCGTCCTGGCTACCTGCCCTGCTCCAGGACCATGGACAAGACCCCCCACTCCCACCCCATTTCTCCCATAGCATCCCTCCCTACACACAATTCCCTTAGTCTGGTTAGAACTGGCCCAGAAGCAGCCCAAAAGCATTGTGAAAGATGGACTGTATCGATGAGCGCACAGCACACAACGGGAGCTGGAGTATGCGGGCGTGGAAACGAATATGGGCTCCTGAGGCAATGGCAAGATCCAGCCCAAGCTATGTCACCAGATGCCAGATAGTCTCAAGCTGGCCCATCTGTCTCCAGACACCCTCCACATCAAATGACCTTTCTGGTGCACGTGGGGATCTGTGTACTCTATGAAGGCAGAGAAGGTCTGCCTTCATCTGGGGCCATGATGAAGCAAGACCAGGTAACATTAAGGCTGCGGATGTCACAGCTTCCCTAGAAAGAGAGGAGATAACATGGGAACAGAAAACCAAATACATGTTCTCACATCTAAGTGGGAGCTACATGATAAGAACACATGGACACACAGAGGGGAACAATGCACACTGGGGCCTTTTGGAGGGTGGGAAGAGGGAGAGGATCAGAAAAATAACCACTAATGGGTACTAGGCTCAATACCTGGGTGATGAAATAATCTGCAAAAAAGCTTAGAAAAAAAAGGAAAGTGAGTTTAGAAGTGTTGAACTAGGGAGTAGATTGGTGGAGAAAGAGGGAGGAGCAGCAGGTTAGTCACATCCAAAAGCAACAGACCCTCACCCTCCAATGTACCTTCATTCATGGGATTAGTTACGGCCACATCTGGGTAACACCTGCTTTGTGGGAATATCCAGACAGTTTTTAATATACCTTTAATCCCATCCACCCACTTTATCTTGGAACAATGCTCTCAACACACACCTGTGTCCTCATAGGAATGCCAGAAAGTATTAGCACGTCAGGGCAGACACAAGCCAAGGAGAGATGGCTCCACCCAAACTCACATTCTCAACTTTATTCCCCATCCTAGCGGTGGCTCTTCTATACAGTAGAGAAGGAAGGGGCCCCACCAGGGGTATGGAGAGACAGTACAGGCAGGACTGAACCGTCTACAAAGGTGAAAAGGATGACCAGGGGCTGGCAACCACAAAACAAAACCAGCGGCTGCCCCTTCCAAGTCTCACCCATGACCCAGAGCAGGTTCCAAGGCCCACAGGCCTAACAGTACAATCCCCCAAAGCCAAGGTCTGGGAGCCATCGAGGAGCTCCCGGGGACCGGGTGGGCTCAGAGGGCAAGGGTGTCTTTGATGAGCCTGCGCATGGTGGTGGTGACGGAGGTGCCCAGGGCATCAGTGATCTGGAAGGAGATCTTGTAGAGGTAGGGCTGCACGTCCCGCAAGCCTGTGTCAAACACGTTATCCACCTCTGACTGTGTGGGCATCTTGGGCAGGTACTCGTGCCGATTCATCACCTCTACAATGTTGATGATCTTCTCACAGAGTTTCTCGCCCACCTTCTCCCGGCAGATCTGCCGCTCCTGCTCTGTGGCCAGGGCTACCACATGCACCTTGACCGTCCACACTTCCCATGGGATGCACTCATCTGAGAAAGGCCAGCGAGACTTCTTCTTCTGGTAGAACTCCAAGGACATCTGCCCCAGCCCATCGCCACCAGAGTTGCGCAGCGCATCCTGGGGAAGAAGGGAACGAATGAGCAAGCTGAGGCCTCTGAGCTCCCACCTGTGAGGGCTGCTTCCCACGCCCCAGGGAATGATGCTCTCTTAGCTACAGTAATCATGCAGGGATGGCAAGGAAACAAGACTGGGAGAGGGTAAAGGATTTGGGTGAAGTGACACAACGAACTGCCAGCCTGAAACTGTGTAGGGCAAGCAAACCAACAAAATCTGTCTCCAAACTCAACTCCTCCAGCTTGGTGAAGAACTGATTATTACAGGAATAACTGGTCTGCAGGCACATATTCTGAGCCATGAACTTTACACACACAACCCCTCTGGCTCCTCTCCACAAGCCCCGTGAACTCTCACTCAGGCACCACGAGGCTTAGAGGAGTGAGGTAACTTGCAAGAGTCACATGCCTATGAATGGCTGGGCCGGGGTTTGAATCTGGATTGTCTCATTTCAAAATCCTTGCTTTTCACCTTTACATGAAAGGCCTTCTCCTTCCACACCACCACCCCTTTAGCCCATATCCTTCAAAATGTTCTCCCAAATCACCTCGTCAACACTCCCTCTTCGCCGTAACCTGTATTTGTCTTCTCCACTGCCAGTTAAACATAATCCTTTCAGTATTTTTTTAAAGAGACTGGGCCTTACTCTATCACCCACGCTGGAGTGCAGCGGAGCAATCATGGCTCACTGCAGCCTCGGACTCCTGGGCTCCCACCTCAGCCTCCTGAGTAGCTGATACTATAAGCAAGCTTGGCTAATTCTTTTTTTCTTTTTGACAGGGTCTTGCTCTGTCGCCCATGCTGGAGTACAGTGGCATGATCACAGCTCACTACAGCCTCGAACTCCTAGGCTCAAGCAATTCTCCCGCCTCAGCTGCTCAAGTGCCTGGGACTACGGGCACGTGCTACCATGTCCCACTAACTTATTGTTTGTAGAGACAGAGTTTTGCCATGTTTTCAGGGCTGGTCTTCAACTCCTGGGCTCAAGCAATCTGACCACCTCAGCCTCCCAAAGTGCTGAGACCACTGGTTGTGAGCCACCAGGCCTGACAAAAAATTCTTCAAATATTAGCTGGGGATGGTGGTGGTGGTGTACACCTGTGGTCCCAGCTGCTTGGAAAGCTGAGGTGGGAGGACTGCTCGAGGCCCAGGAGGTCACGACTGGGGTGACATAGTGAGATTCTGTCTCAAAAAAAAAAAAAAAGGAAGAAAAAAATTATCCCAAAACCTAAAATGCGACAAAAAAATAATTTTAAAAAATAAAATAAAAGAGAAAGAAAAATTATCTTTGCTACTTTAAAACTTAAAAGTACCCACTCAATAAAATGGTGAAACACTGACTCTGACCACAGGAAAACCACACTACCACTCCCACCTCCTGAGGTGACCAACATCAGCAGCCTGCTGTGTACCTTCCGTATCTTTTTCCTACCCAGGCACTCCCAAACACATGCCACACTGCCAAAAGGGACACTCCATCTTGGATGGCAGCCACCTGAGCCAAGCAAGCCACCCTCTGGGGTGTCTCATGTGGGAAAGGAAAAGTGGAAGCAGAAGTAGAGAGAGCTGTACCAGAGAGAAGGTCAAGACCACAGAAGGTCAAGACCACTGGCTGCCAATGCTGTTGGGGCTTCCTGCTCTCCCTTTTACCCCTAGGCACATTTTTTAGTGTCTCCCTCCTCCACCCCACCCCCACAACACACACACAGACACACACGCCCTCCCCTGAAGAGGAGCACTCAACACACCTGCTCCTCAGAACTTGAAAGAACCCAATACACACACTCAGGAGGCTGGTTCCAGAGCAAGCTGGGACGGAGGGGCACTCGAGGTGCCCCTGCCACCTCCTGGCCCACAGCCTTACCTTGAACTCCCCAACAACCTTGCGCAGGGCGCGGTCCAGTTCCTCAGAAGAGACACGAACGTAGGTGAAGTCGATGAAGTCACAGTCGACATCCTGGGTGCCCACAGTGCCAATGGAGTAGGTGCCCTCCTTCTTGTAGTGGAACTTGCCCGTGCTGCGGTGCAGGAGCACCGTGTGCAGCACAGCCAGC